AAAAGCTCAGATAAATACGGTACCTTAAACCTAAGGCAGCTACTTGAAGAGTTCCAGCTTTCAGCTGCTTTTAGTAACTATGTCAAATTTAAAGACTTGGGTTACAAAAGTATCTGGCCCTTCGGAATCATTTGGCTGTGAAAGATCAGCCTGGCTTTATGGGTGAGCACAACCAGGTGCAAAGTTTCCTATCAAGACTATTAGGCTTTAAAATACTCCACATGCTAAAAGTTTGAGAGATGAAGCAGGCTACTGAAAATAGCTTTATATTGATATTTCCCCACCAGTCTTTTAGAGAAACTAGTCTGAGTTGAAGTGGTGAGTGGGAAAAATGCCCTGCTCCCTGCAGACAGGTATTTCTCAAGCCCCAACACACGCAGATCCACAAAGAATGATAAGCCCAAGCTTTTAAAAAGAGCTAATATTATAAAAACGATTTGGTAAAGCTCTTCATTCTCAAACAGTTGGTCTCTTGACAACGTGTCTCTGCAGCTCCTAAGCACGCATATAATAAAAACCTCATCAAGAACAGATCCCTGCAAAGGGACAGATATGTGGTTGGAAGCTGTGAAAGTTCACACTTCAGAAAAATCAAATTAACAAACTGCTGAGCCCTGTTAATTGTTTCTTTTAAAAAAACCCAACCAAAAACATAAGCTGTAAATAGCTAATCAGGGAGATCTAGAACTTGGACTGATCTGTTTAACAGCAGGTTTTACTAACCTGCCACAGACTTCTTACATAAAAGTAGGTGGATTACAATTTTTTTCTTTCTAAAGCGTATGAAATCTTGAGAAAAAATACTGAAATTGGAAGCCTGCACATAACTTTTGTCATTTTTGTCCACAGATGAACTCAGAAACCAAACTCCTGTGACAGACTAGCACAGAAATACACACAAAGCCAAGGCTAAGCCAGTCTCTTGGGTCAGCTCACAAGAAAAAGTAAATCTACCTGTGCTTGAAATGGCCTAATGAAAGGCAGAGCTTGTGTGTGAGCTGGGGGAGCACAGAGCCAGCCACACTCTCCCATTGTCATGGGCTCTCCCCAGCAACAGGCAGAAAGGCAGTTTTAAAGGAGCTGTGTGCCTTCAAATCCTTTCCACGTGAATAATGCGTCTCCAGCAAAGTGCCAGCTTCGATGCTCTTGTTTCCACGAGGCAGCGGAAAGCAGCAGGACAGCAACAAAGCCTGGGTTGTGGGGGTTTGTTTGTGGCTCTTTGAGAAGAGGTAGGAGAGGAAACACATCCAATTCCTTCAGTGTAATTTATTAGAGTCAGGCTCACGCGTGAAGTGTCCTACAAAGACAACTTCAGAACTCCCAGCTCTGCTCCTGTGCTGGGAGCACGGCAGCAAAGGCAGCCAGAAGGGCCCTGGAGCCCATTTCCTCCGGGGGCCAACAAGGGAACCTTTCCACCACCTCCCAGGGCCTTCGCTCCGTCCTCTGACAGAGGACACAGACAAGTCACTCGTGGATCACTTCATAGATTTTTTCTAGTTCTGGAATTCAAATTAAAGAAATGAGTTTGACTTTTTTCCAGAATCAACTGAAGAGATCTGATCTCTCAAGTTTTAGGTGAAACAAATTGGAGGGAGCAGTTCAGAGAGGCTGCTTAGCCTCTGCTTTCTGAAATACCAGCATGATGACTCAAGCACACATCCTTGTATTGCTGCTCTTTCAAAAAAAGGCTTTTCCAGCAGTTATTTACGCCTAACAGCACAAATAAATAGGCTTCCATTCTCAAAATCTTGGAATTTGCCCTCTACTAAAACCATGAAGAGAACTGTAACTGAGTGACTTAACTGATAAACGCAGCCAGCTTCAGAGTTCCTCCGAGTCCCAAGTTTTATAACCCCCAAACAAATTAATCTTTTCCTTTTACTGGCTGTGTAGAAAACATAACATTTCCTTCAAGAAGTGCTTGTCCAGAAGTCTTTTGAAAACAGGAAAGTCACTATGAGGGGGTGGGAGGGGAGCAAGTACAAGTAGTTTGGGTTTTTTCAAAGAGTGCTGACCCATTAGAACTAAAACACCCATCTCTTACTGTACCAATGCAGGAGAAAGACAGAAAGAAGAAGAAAAAAAATGCAGTCTTTGGCAATGTAGGGCTCCTAATCATTAAGCCTAACACAGACCAGCAGAACAATAAAGAGAGCAATTGCATTGTAAATTTATGTTCCATGCCCAGGTTATGGAATGTAGTGCAATAGGGCACTAACTGCATTCCTTACAAAGGGAACAGCTTGAGCCTCATGATTTGTGCATGTGGGCAACGCTGAATGACCTTCATGCTTTCCAACATTCACTAGAAGGCAGATTTATTTGTAATCACAAGTCAGCTGTTTTGTTTTGGGAATAAACATATATTTGGAAGAACAAAGGTTTAAACTTTGTATTAAGTAGGAAATGCAAAAGGCAGTATGTTAGCTTTAAAAATGGAATTTAAAGCCTGTACTCCAAAACCCTGTCTGAATAATATTAGAATCTGGGAGAACTCTGCTGAAATAGTTGTTTGCTACTCCTTTTTCTTTTTTTTTTTTTCCTTTGAAAGAGAGAGATTTTCATAGTCCAGTTCCATTATAAAACAGTAGCCTTTCTATCATATACCTTACGTAAAAACATATCCTGTATCAACATAAGAGATCCGACACTCACAGTGGACAAATAAAGTGATATTGCTCTTACTGCAACACACATAATACAAGACTATCCCTATTCTAACAAAGAAAATCCATCAAATTTTTATTTTAAACAAGCATTGCCTGCCTCTTATTCCCCATTTTCTTAGGCATGAAATAAATCACAGTTTGGAGAACTGGACTGCAGCACAAAGGAGCGGGATCCTAGGACAGTATTATTAAAATAACCAGCAGCTGCTCATTGCACCAAACCATCCCCAAGATACAATGAACAGTAAATTCTGGTTTTTGTTCAACAGACCAAGGTGGCAAATCTTAGATTATCTAAAGCTTCCATATCACAGTTCTTGCACTCCTGGAAATGAAGTTCTAACTTAGATTTGAAGGAAGTCAAGAGACCACATTAATCAGAACTACTTCTGGATATGCTGAGACATGAGGGACTGGGGCAGGATTAATTATTTTTCCTGCACATCCAAAAATCAAAACAATGAAGAAGTATGTAGAAGCACACAGTTCCTGATGCTCCAAAACAAACGGCAAGGAAAATGCTATTTACGAGCATGTGAGATGAGGCAATGGGCTTCTGGTCCTCAACTTCCTACGAGTTGCAGTAAGGAATTTAATTTCTACCTCACAACCTAAAGTGCCCCATTCCCAGGTACCTATGCAAAAAAGCAACTCCTGAATAGGATGAGAAAGTTGAATCCTGAACACACAATGCATTTTAACACAAAACTGCCAGTGGAAGTACACTAGACTGAAACAATTCATAAAGCCACACAGGTCTTTATATAAGGTTAATGGTTTGCTAGCCAAGTGTCAAGGTTCAAAAACAGGTAATTTTTGTTCCTTTTTTAAGTCAGATTCGAAGTTTCTGCATTTTTCCTTACAATACCTTGCTAAAATCTCAACAGCAACTAGATGGGCAGAGGATATTTTAACTTAGAGGTGTTAGAGGTAATAAGCACCTTATTATAAAATAAAAGAGCACAGGAAAGCCTGAATACTCAGTTCTTTGGTTTTATACTTCGGTTTGCTGCTACTGGGTCAGGCAGCATGACAGCAGCCTAGGCATACTAGGATGACTAACACTGAAACGGGCTGAAAACAGCAGCAATCATGACAGAGACAATAAAGAACCACAGCAATGGCACACAGCTCCAAGGAAAATCATTAAAAAGTGCTTTTAAAAGACACAGAGAAAACATAGTTATGATGCCAAAACATACTTTTTTAAAGGCCACTTTTCATTAAAGGGATTATATATGATATTAATGATATGCATATAAATAAAGCATATGGCATAAGCAAATATTAGCATAAGATCTTGGGCACCTTTAAGAATGACACTTTAAGACAAACAGATTACAAAGTGCTGTAATAAAATCACTAATATATCAAAGAAAGTGTGCATGGTGTTAAGGAGTAGTGATAATTTAAAAAAAAAAACAAAAACAAAACGGTCTTGGAAATGAAAGATACAACAGAGTATTGAGCCAAAACCTCAATCTTTTGGAGATCTTAATATAAGCCACTGTCTTTACTAGAGTACTTCAAATAGAAAATTCCCCAACCTTGTGATTCATGAAAGGGACCAAGGCAGAGAAATGATGGGCTAAGAGGGCAGAAACACACTGGGCGTTCCACATAAATGCACCGAGAGGTGGTTTAGGATGGCTCGCTCTCTCCTGGTGCACATAGGAAGGAGACTCGGGAACATGTAGGAGGTAATTCCTTTCTCCAAAAGACTTTGCCTCAGGTCTCCCATCAAGATAAAGAGCACGGAACATAAGAAAGTGTGTTTAAGGAATGTTTTCTGCAACGTGCAAAAAACTATCAGGCAGGCTAAGGGGTAAACCAAGGAGGACTGGTCTGCCTCTCCTCGGTTGCACCGGAGAACAATTTCAGCTGGAGGAGAAAGATCAGGGCGCAGGTTAGGGCAAAGCTGATTGCAAAGACAAGCTTGAGGCTAGGATATGGCGTAAAGGGCACTTAAAAGGGGGCAAGTGATGTCTGAGGTGAAGACTAAATGTTTACAAGAGAGAGCAAACGGTACAAATACATCATCTTGCTAACGGCTCCACAGCGGCTGCCAGAGCAGAAGACCATGGGCTTGAGGGTGCAGTGTCCTAGGTACATGGGAAGGAAGTAGCAGGAAATTTGACTGGGTATGCAGAGGGAAGGTGCAGGGCACAGCCTGGAGGCCGGGAGGGGAGGACAGGTGAACCGGGTGAGGAAAGGTTCAGGGCAGGTTGAGGCACATCGCGTTAGCAGGAAGCTGCAACGCTCGGGAGAGGGCTCAGCAGTGGAAGGGCTGGGGCGAGCGGCCCGAGGGCAGCGGGGAAGGGAGGACGGTACCTGGGCGTCTTGGCGGCGGCGCTCTCCCGGCGGTCCAGCACTCCGGGCACGCAGTTGGTGAGCTCGGTCCAGTCGGCGTGCAGCCCGCAGCTCCAGCCCGTGGAGAAGCGGGAGAAGAGCCAGGTCTCCCGGCGGTTGGGGCGGTAGCAGGTGCACTTCTTCTGCCCGGGCCGGCAGTCGCAGGGCACCTCCAGCCGCACGTTTTGCACCAGGTGGCGGCCGAAGGTGGTGCCGCCGGTCTTCTGGATGTGCAGGAAGACGATCACGTCCTCGCCCTTCATGTCGAAGGCGAGCTCCCGCTCCAGCTCCCGCACGGGGAAGTAGTACTTCTTCACGTAGTGCGGGTCCGGCGTGGGAAAGAGGTCCAGCTCCTCCGAGTAGGAGCGGCCGCTGGGGGAACCCAGGCTCAGCCCCGGCCCCACGTACTGGTACAGGATAAGCATGAAGCACACCGAGACGGCCACGATCAGCAAGAACTTGCTGGTCCTCTCAACCATGGTCCTTCCCGCACGCTTCATGTGTCACCATCTCCCGGGGCTGCCAGCGCTGGGCAGACGGCGGCGGTGCCGGGGGGGCGGGCGGCGGAGCTCCGGCGTCTGTGCCAGCCGCCTCCCCCCGCTGCTCCCCGGAGCAGAGCGTTCCCCGGGGGCGGCGGGCCGCTCCCTGGGTCGCTCGGCTCGCCGCTGTCCCCGCCCGCCCCGCCGCGGGCAGCGCCGGGAGCGGGGCAGGGGCAGCCCGCAGCCAGCCGCTCTGGAGGCGCCGCGGCACAGCGGCGAACTTGGGAGAGAGGGGCAGGAGGGGGGCGGAGAGGGACCGAAACGCAGAACCAGCCCCCTCCCGCCCTCCCTCCCCGCGCTTCAGGAAGCCGCCCCCATCCCGGCGCTGCCTCCGCCGTGCCCCAGCCCCCGCGGCACCGGCGCGGCTCTGCCCGCCCCCGCCGCCGGCAGCGCCCGGGCTCGGCTCGGCTCGGCCGGCAAAGCGCTTCCTGCCCGCGCCGCCCGCGCCCGGCATGCACAGCGCCGCGCCCCGCACCGCCCCGCACCGCCCCGCGCCCGCGGGCCCGCTCACACCGCCCGCGGCACAGCCCGCCCAACGCTCCCCGGCTCGGCCGCCGCCAACGCGCCGCTGCCGCCGCTCCTCGGGCCCTCGCCGAAAGCCTCGGCAATGCAGACCAGGGTGGGCTGCGAGGCGGCCGCGGCTCGCTGGAACACTCGGCTCTTAGCGCTTCCAGACAGTCTTTTATGTGCCGCCGTAAAATGAATCCCGAAAAGCGGGACTCGGCACTCCTCGGGGGCTAGATTTCTACTCCGCTTTTGTAACAACAGTGTTACTAACGAGCAAACGTGCCTGGGAACGGGAGTGGGTCTCCCCACATGTGTCTGCTCCCGCTGCCGCCGCCACATGGGCCACCGCAAGCCTATAGTTACAATGTCGCAACTGGATGCAACAGGAAAATGCTCTGGCCACACCGAGGGTGATGATGGCTGGGAGCAGGAAGAAGCCTGGGCACACCGTCAGCCACAGAATGTGTAAATAATAATAATGGGTGAAGCTGAGGCGAAAAACCAACAGAGGTGTTTTTTGAGAGCAAACTTTTTCAGCGAACGCTTTGTGCTCTCGGCCAGGCAGGCTCCATCCGGCAGCGCGGCTGCTGCAGGGATCGTTTGCAGTGCAAGTCTCCCAAATGAAGCAAAGCGTTGGGAGTGCCAGGAAGTGCCAGGCGCGCAGCCGGGTTACAGCGATCTCCTCTGCAGGGCAGCACTTAGCAGGGGAGATGCTGCAGCAAGGATGAGTGCAATACGGACCCGCAGAGCACGGCGGGCGTGCTCAGTGCCAGGCATCACCTTACGGGAGCGGAGCCACAGAATCACAGAACACGCCGAGTTTGTAGGGACACACAGGGATCGTCGAGTCCAGCTCCTGGCCCTTCACAGGACCATTCCCAAGAATCACACCGCGTACCTGATTGTCCAACTGCTTCTTAAGCTCTGTCAGCCTTGGTGCTGTGACCACTGCCATGGGGAGCCTTCTGCGGAAGGGGCAAGCAGGGTCCCGCGGCTGGTCTGTCAGCCCGGCGCTGAAAGGCAGGTGGGGGCTGTGCCACCAGGTGTCCGAGCGAGCCCCGAAAATCGCCATCTGGTGCCTCTCTCTGGTGCCTGTTAATGGAGGATGAAATATTGGCCTCATGTCACCGAGTGAGGCTCAGTGTAGTGGTAGTCACGCTGCCACTTCATCGAGACATGAGTTATTGTCTAGGCAGAACAAATAATACGAACAATTGTTGATTTCTAGCCAAAAATCTCTAACTGAAATGCCTTATTCTCCTGTAATTACTGCTATTGGAGAAAGTTTTCCCAGGTTTCTGGGGCTCCTTAAAATAGAAGTTACAGCTAGATCTTAGCGTTCTGGCACCAAAATATTCCATCATTAACCATCCAAAGGTTACATTTTTTAATCCAAGTTGTGCCTTATGTAAATGTATGGAAACACATGCAGATGGGTCATTGTTAAACATTGGGTCAAATTTATAAGGGCTGAGGAGGAAATGAGATCCCAGGTTTTCATTTGAACACCATGACTGATAAATCTGCTAGATTTTGAGATGGCTGCATTACTCACAAGTTATGGAGCCCCAGTGAGTTATGCAGTTCTTCCCAAACAAGTAACAATAAAATGTTTATAGCACCCAAAAGCATCATATATTGTGTTCAAACCATTTATTTTGTTTGCTATTTTCCTCTTAAAAGTCTGCTTCTTATTCTCATCTTCTCATGTAGGTTAGTTACTCGAGAAACAATGATGTCATTCTTATGCACAAAGTTCAGCTACATTCAGAAACATAGTATAAACCTAATTTACAGGTTTGGAATTTATATTTTGATTTGGGAAATATGGGCATATCCGTGAGGTATATGTACATGGTTGCACTATACACTGCAGCATAAAAAACACAGAGCAGATTTGAGGATTGCAATGTGTTTGCCTGCAGTTATAAACATATAAATATTTAGAAATGCCAGAACTATGAAGAAATCAGCCATTAAGATAGTTCCAGTTACATGGGCTATTGTTAATAAATAGTTTTAAACTCTAAGATACAAAGTATTTTGGCCCTTTTCATTAGTTGTATAGATAGACATACCAAGTAACTGATTTATATTTGTGGTAAGTATAGTGCCTGTTAGTTTGTAAAGGACCATACTAAAATATGTAAGATAAACAGAACACAAAGGAAAATACAGAGTTATGCTGAAAATGTGCTGTTTTCTTTAGTGCAGCACCTTCCATCTACAAGTGGGGAATGGGGAACTTGCTGGAAGCACAGGAAAGGCCTATGCCCTTCTGCTTTACTCCCACCCACACAAGTAGCACACATCCTACCTAGGAAAACTGCAAAACCAAAGCTTTGGGGTCAATGATTTTATTTTTACTGCAATGCTTTGGAATCCTTCCCTGATAATTCTCTATGCTGCTCTGAAATGCTGGTATTTCAAAGGTGCTTACAGGTGTGACTCCCCTATGATGATCACTTAAGCAAATATTTAAATCAATCCCTATTTATACTCAAGGTAAAATTCCACTGAAGACAATGATAGAGCAGTTCTCCGTTGCATGGGGAGTTAAATATCAAGTACCACAGCAGTGCTAGTTTAGGCCAGCGTGTTTCTTACACAAGAGAAGAAAATAGTAGAGTGAAAATAGCAAGACCTACACTTTCCCTGTCCCTTCCATTGCAAACAATAGCAGAAAGAGGTGAGAAATCTGAAAAATACATGTTGTTACTGCTGCCTTCTGTTACCTGCTGTAACTGCCTGCTTATTCTCTGGGTTCCCTTACACCATGCCTTTAGCCATTATCCACCTTTCCAAGCTGAATTTTCCACTCTCAGGCCAGACCTCCCTAGATTTTCCTACGTCTCATCTGGGATTCATCACAGTAAGTCTGCCTAGCTCCAGGAGCAAAGCTCTGTTTCCTGTGAAGCAGTGAGACTGACAATCTGTAATCATCAAGATGCCTAAAAATCTAAATGCTTATGTAGAAAGCATTTTAGGGAAGAAAAAAAAGAAAAAGTGTGTATATTTATCTCTAACCTGTGCCCTAGAGGAGGCGCATTTTACATTTTCTCTCTGCATTCTTTCAGGCAAATGAAAACAGAAGATCTCCCCACAGCCCACTGAAAAAGTTCTCTGACACTTTGGTGTCTATCCTTTGCAACCTTCCACTCCTGATCTTCGTCAGACTGAGGAGAACCCTTCTCTCATACAAGCAAACTGAAAGATCATATTTGGCACTTTCATAGGAATACAGTTATTTAAGAGAATAAGTTCCATTGATTTTCAGTGATTTTCGCATGACTAAGTCCCTTCAGGTGTGTTTGAAAGGTCTGTTGTCTGTAGTATATTCCCCATTAACTTTGAATTCTCACTACAAAATAAATCAGACTGAGGTCAGGCCAGCTACGTTACCTAAGCCTGATCTACACTCACTCACTTTCCTGGCCAGCAAACACCTAGACAGGTAAGCCAGCGCTCATGATTTATTCATGGTAAGGCATTGCTAGGACTGAGATACAAGGATTAGAGATCTTCTTACAGATAACAAGGAACAGACACAAATTTTGCAAATGCAGTTGAAAAGTACTTTATCATTGCTTGCTGCTGGCCATAGGATGCCTAAATATTTACCTTGAAGTTTACTAAAATATTCTGCTTTTTATCCCACAGAGGCTCTGTGCCTTCCTTGCAGAGAAGCTGAGAGTAGTGGCTTTGGCCTGACGTGGGGTAAGCTGTCCCATTACAAAGCCATCCTGGTGGTGCACATAGCACACAGGACTGTGTTCACCTGCGACTTCTGAGGGCACTGCTTTGGTCCCCACCATGGCAGCCTGTCCCCTTCCTACTCTTCCCAAGCAATGGCAGAGTGCAGGCACAAGGACTGAGCCTTCAGACAGCTCAGCCTGCATCCACAGTTACCAACAGCGAGAGCGAGCGGCACTTAGGCTGAGCTTGGACCTGTATGATGGGATGGGTCCTACAGCTTGGGTGTGAATTGCTAACATATGCCCGAGGTAAAAGTTTCTGTATTTGCAGTTAGAAGTCAGATGAAGAGCAACATCTGAGTTAATACTGAGGTGAGAGTGCAGCTTATCACAGAAAAGCTCCCATGAGAAAGCAACAGTAGGAAACAAGTAAATCACGTACAACTTGTGCCACCAAAACCTCAATGAAGTACTTATCTCAGAGCCTAATAAATAAATAGTAGCTTTATTAGGCAAGGGAAGTCTAAAGGCATTGACTCAGAAGTTACACTACTTTGCTGTGAATTAGTATAACTTAGTTAACCAAAGCATTGCAAAAAATCCTCTTTAAACACTTGCAAAGCCTAAGAAATACCTCAAGAAAGACACCTTTATTTAAAAGTTCTACTGCTCCAGTAAGGAAAAAAGAGTGTATTTACTTTGTTTCCAAAGGATAAACTTCCTGTTTCCCCACACAGGTTGAAACAAACTGCTCCTTATCCCAATGTCGTTGTTTTTTGGTTTTTTTTTTTCCTTTAGGAGTACTGGGCACACGAGACTCATTTGCTTTGCTGATGTGTGTGCACACTACACCGAGTGAGGAGTCAGGAATCACAGACTGTAGCTCTTGGCCTGTAATACCAACACTCAGACCTACAGCGAAGTGTAGAACGCTTGTTTTGCTAATCTAAACTGCTTTTGTTCATCCGCTGCTGTTGCAGCACCCGTGGCAGTTGCCAGCCATGCACATTTACAAG